CTGGAGAGTGGGGCTGCTCCAGGCAAAGATGTAGCTAGTGGATACTGGATGACTGATAGTATGAATTAGTCATGAGGACTTGGGATCATGCCATGGAAACCCTCAGGAGTGATCCGGAGGAGGACACTGGTGGTATCTTGGTGTGATTTAAACAAAGGAAATGGTTTTAAAATGTTTCATTAGGGCTCTATTTGTAGCCATGGGTTAAATAGCTCGACAACGCAGAGTATAAATGAATCACAATTTCTCTAATTTTAAATAAGATATTTTCTCCATTTGGAATATTTTTATTGCTCTTGTTACTGTGCCAATTCGCTAAGCCCCAGAGAAAGGACAGAAATAAATCAAGCATGGTGAGCACACCTGTAACATCAGTACTCTGGGAGTCAAAGGCAGGAAGATCTCAGGTTTGAGCCTGCTGTGGGTAATTGAGCCACTTAGGGAGGCCCTGTCTCAAAATACAAAGGGCTGAGGATGCACTTCTGTGCAAAGGCCTGGGTTCAACCCACAGTACTGAAAAAAAGGCAGAAACACGCTAGTTGTAGGAATTTCAAGAGGTTATTGTTGAGTTCTAAAGAAATTACTTTCAATTGTACAGACAACTTTCCCCCTTAGAAAGCAGCATTTTAGGGTCAGTGGTCAGAGCTTAAGGAAACAGTATGCCAAATAGATTTAGTTGTCCCTTTCCAACTAACGGGATTCTGAATAATCAAGCATTTAGACGGATTATGGGGGGATAGGAGACAGATGAAATTGCTTTCATTCATTAAATTTTATTTTTTCTCACTGGGTTCTTGATATATCAGGGGGAACATTCCACCAGTGAGTAGGTGACAAAAATCAAATGTTTTTCACAGGTGCCTCTTTCAAGATTCATGAGAGGAAAATCAGCATCTCTGATGCCTCACTTGCTCTGACTCCACTTGGTGTTAGCCCTGTCTTTAGCAACCTCTGGGATCCCGCCTGTGCCTCTGACTGCAGTGTATGGCCAAGCTGAGAGAATAAAGCAAGATCCATTTGGTTAACAAACCAAATAACCCAGCCCAATCTGATCCCTGTCATACACCTACTCACACCTGAGCTCCTTGGTGCAACCCTTCTCCCCCACTTTATTTACACAAGTGCTGTTTACATTTTTTTTCCTTTTTTGCTCATCATTGTTCTCCTTTTCCCTACTTTTCTCTCTCCCTTTCCCATCCCTAGTTGCCCCTCCCAGTTGAACATTTTCTTTCTGTTTCACAATATCTAGTGTATATTTTGGTCCTTATTTGCACTTTTGGTTTCTCACATCAGAGAAATAATGTGGTATTTACAGAGGTGTATCCAGTTT